CTGAAGGGCAAACCAAAGGGAAATGGTTTTGAGTTCTAAATAAAGGAAAATTCAAAATGAACAAGTTCGATTTAGCGAGGTCCACCTATAGTAATCAATTTCTTGTTCAGTGGCCAAAAAGAGGTTGACCAAAAACAGTTGACCAAACCTCCGGACAAACAAAAGTTGTATGGAGCGATGTCACATAAAATTTTTGGGACCTACAGAAATCTATAGCGTGAATTGACATCTTGATTTCGGGAGTAAAACGGTTGAAATCTATATGGACGCGTTTTTCTGCCACATGAATTTAATGCAATTTTCTAAACGTTTTTGAAAACCGTTTGTCCAGTCATATCTCAGTTTATAAAACATTGCAATATGTTGAGCTTTTCCTTACCAAGTGTTTTATTTCAATTCATGATTGATTCTGAATTTAGTCAATAAAAACGACCAGTATGGCTTTCCCTACATATTTTCTACGTATTTAGTAAAAGTAGAAACATTTTTAAGCGGAGAAGTATTCTCGTACGAACAGCATAAACGGAAACTTTTTGTAAACGCTGACGTGCCGTGCAGCCTCGTACCCACCCGTCCTAGTGCACGGGACATATTTCGTTTAGGTACATCTGTTTATCGTTTACGTTTAGTGTTTACTAGCGTATTTAAATATATCATATATGTATTTTAAGATCCCTGCATCACTGGATTGAGTGGCCGATCCGGTACTCAGTCCTGACGGGGAGGGACCATTATATTGTGTTCCTAGGAAAGACCAGAAGCTTCTGTGGAGAATTGTGTCTCCAAAGCTGTCGTCCAAAAAAAAAAAAAAAGAAAAAAAAAAAGGGGGTTGGCTACCTGTAATGTGCTAGCCTCCCTTTCAGGAGGAGTAGCTACACTCTTAGCCACCTTGAATTAGCATTGAGATTTCTGTTCTGTTACGTTTGGCATGTAGTGAGAGTGGGTAGTTTAAAGTTTTCTTCGTAATCGAAGAACAGCACCGAATCTCTGAGACTCAGTGTGATTGATTTGAAAGTTAACTGGGTCAGAGTTGCCCCAGGGAGGCTCTCAGAAACATTTTCACATCATCTTTATATTTTCCCACAATGGGTTACTGATCCGAAGCACTAACTGATAACCGCAGGATTTACGTCATTCGAGCTGAAGGGCGGAAGGGATTTTACATCTTAATGCTGACACTCTTGTAAAGTTCTGAATCGTGGCATTTAGTTTACACGTCAGTCTGCTAAACAAGCTAGCCATTTTTGTGGTATTGGCACCCTCTCGCGATGAATCAGCACCTTACCCTCTTGCTAAGTTATAAATAAGTTTCAACTTCGTTCAAAAACAATCCAAAACCGAGGAAGAAGACAACTAATTTTGAACCTTTAATGGCATTTCTTACTTATCAAATTGCTCAATCATATTACAATTAAGAAGGTTTCACTGTCCTAAAATTAAGCGCCATTCGTCTTGAATAAAAGGGTTTTTGGCAGACAACCAAGAAAAGAATGCCAATCTCAGAAGACACTCCGTTTATTTGTACGAACATATAAGTCAAGTCATAGACATTTTCCTGAAATGTTGAACTCCGTCGTAAATTTATCTCTGCCTCGTTGTCAAAATTACTTGAACATTGTTCACTGCATAAAAGCAGACTTTATGATGTTAAATTGCTATGACGTTCAGGATATGAAATTATCCTTTATGACTGAGCCAGCCGATAAATTCACAGCTTAAAATGGAAAATATCGTTATAGTTTTGCCTAGGATCGCCTATAATTCAGATTATAAGCCAGTATAGCACGTTCAGAAGTCGAAATGAAATCGTAAGCTTCCAAATAGATCTCCGGCAAAAATTGGCCTCGAAAATATTTATCAAAACCAAAAGTTGTCAGCAGTGAAATGGCCTGCAATTATGGCTTATTTTTTCGACATAATGACTGTGGCCTTTTCATCTGAAAAGCACCGGCCAGTTTGAATAGTTTGGACAACTTGTAGTGGGGCTTTCAACGGCCAATCCGGCATAAAAAAATTAAAGAGAGAGAAAGAGAGAGAGAAAAAAAAAATGTATATAAAGAAAAAATCTGTCACAGAAACAGCAATTGGAAACCTGTGATCTGTGCACGTTCCAAAGTACAAAGTAATCATTCTTTTTTTGTAATTCACCAATGAAATGTGACTAGCCAAAGACACCAACACTCTACGAAATCAATGTCTGCGATCCTTCAACTCAGCGGTAGCCCCTTTTCTTCTCGACAAGAGCCTGGAACCGAGTAAAAATTTCCAAGGTTCAAGTCAAGTTTATCATGACAATGCAATACGGGGATAAGCGAAAAATATTGAATCACGTCTTCCCTACGAGACCAAGGCATGTTTAAGTTCATTTGTTGGTCTCTTTAATTTGGGGACGTGACAAAATGCACTTATCTCATTGGAAACCCTTAGAAATTGGAACACGTTTGAGAAATCCTATTTTCGAATCTAACTGTCAGTTATGTTTATATTAAACAGGGACGTATACAATATTTGTGGTGTAAGTATTGCAGCTGATATTAAGAACAATAAATTAAAGTTTACATCAGTGTCTAGACATCATCAGCAGTTGGTATATTTTCTTTCTTTTTTACCGCATATAGTACTAAATTAAAAGACGAAATGTTGAATCAAAGGGTTCTATCGTACAACTTTTATTCTGATTTAAACAAAAGTACAAATGGTACAAATTAAAAGATACATATTTAAGGGGATTTTGGATCTTATAAACATGCGCCAAAGCCCAGTAAATCAAAAGAATCGAATCAAGAAGGACAAGAAAGGTCGGTCTAGGTTTCTTGTCGGTAGATATTGCAGCGGATATGCGAAGTTATATTTTAGGCAGTCATCTACCATCTCAGTCATAAACGCAAAGTCATCATGAAACAAAATGTTAATATTTTGATTGACTTTTCTTTGACACACAACTTGGACTTCTGGCTTAGTATAAAGTGAGTCGTCCCTGCCTGTACAGTCACCAACAGAGCGTAAGTAAGTTGTACCAAAAGTCCCTACGTGTTATGTAATATATTTTTCAGGCAACGTTTATTTGAAGGAATGCTCAGGAGAGATCACTGATTCCGTGACAGCGGAGGGTTAACCTCTGCAAAACGAGTTGTTTTAGCGAGAGATGCTTTTATGGGATAAAGTGCTGGGTGGCTAATCGGTAGAAACTTTCACACGAATTTCTGAACTAAGCCCAAGGATTAACTTGAAAGCACCTAATTCATGTCTCAAGGCTGAGGCGAATTAAAAATATGAAATTATAAACCTCGTCCCGATTTCGCCAAGCCTATTGTTGTCCTTTTGAATACTTGATAAAGTGGAATAAGCCAGCAAAGCGAAGAGTCTTTCGGCACCCATCGTGTGTTCGAGTCACGCAGTCGAGGTTTATGGTACGAATTGGAACAAAACGTTAGCGTTAGTTTAATCAGTCCGTTTTCCAAATAGCTGTTCTTGTTCCGGAGGCATTGACTTTGCCCGTGAGAAGGGAAAATAATAAAGGTAACCGGAATGAAGCTTTGTTCAATGGTTTTCTATCACTCCTGTATCAACTTAGTAATCCGTAAATGAAACTAGTTTAATAGGGCCGGCTCCGAGCGTTCATCTACATTCATATACAACAACAAGATCTTTTCGGATTATAAAAAGCTTGACCTGCTTTTGAATTTCTTTCTCTAAGTTAATGGAAGCATCCGCTATTAAGCTTGCTTTTCGCCGGATAAGGCGCTCAGCCTGCAATCCTGATGTGTGCTGCTTTTTCTCGTCTGAAAATATTTATTTAGTATCGTGTTTAGCTGGTGTTTTGTTTGCCCAAGCCACGATTTATAATCGTTAGTGGAGGGATTTTTACAACTTCTCCCGAGCAAGCCACGAAGGACGAACGCGGTTTGTCACCAGTTTCAGGACTCATTGCCATGCCAAGGTAAATTTGAGCTTCATCTTATTTTTCCGTTCACTGTTGGCGCAATACCCACGCGATATTTGCTTTGCGTGTCGTAAATGTTTATACTGTTGTTTGCTTTGCGTCGAAACAGAAGGCAAATATCACAGGGTTGTTTCCTAGACTGTATCTTTAATCGCTTAATTTTAGCCAGCGCGCCGGCCATAGAAGCGAAGATCAATCACCTCTCTCTCTCTTGCATATAAAGACCTTGAACGGCATTCAAACTACACCAAAATAATTTATTCAGCATCAATATATTTACATGATTTTGACAGGAGTGGTGAACCCGACTGCTGATTAATTGAGTTAAAGTATATCACGGTTTTGCTGGCGACCTTGGCTTCACATCTCGTTGCTAGTTGTGCTATATTACTCAGTTTGTGGTCCCCGTGTTAAATATTTAAGCTTTAAGTGTTTTTGTAAAATTCATGGCACATGTCAACCATGTCAGGTGGTTTTAAAAGCGCGAGAGACAAAAAATAAATCTGTCTGCTTCGATTTTGACATCTTCGCAGCGTGTCTCGGAAGCAAGTTCTTCACAGGAACAGAAGACTTCAGCCCTACACAGACTTTCTGGCGCGTAACCTGTTATATTCTCGTTTGTCATACATACAAAATAGGACTTTGATGGACATATCGCGCCACTTCACTCACTAATTGCGGCTATACCTGACATGTCTTCTGACGCAAATGGATTGAGAAACCACTTTGTTACGAAAGAAAATGGAAGTTGCTCTTCAGGGCTTCATATTCGCCGTCCAAAATCTTGCTTTCAAGATTTCAATTTCTGAAAACTGATCCAGCGCGTATTTTTGGCGCCTTTTTATTTAGCGCATAATTATTGCCACATATTCAGTTCCCACACCAAACTCGCGTGTCAAAAGAAACACCAGTACAGTAATATTAATTTTACGACAAGGACAACCGATTTTTCTCCGCAGAGAATGATTTCATTTACGTCAATTAATCACTTGTCCGCGAATTACAATTTTTGCTCTATCAAATTATTCGCTGGTTCATATTTTCTTTATTTTTGTAAATATATTTATGTATTTTTTTGAGAAATTTAAGCTTTGATGATTATTTTGATGAAAATAAAAGGCAAACGTGAGTAGGGTCGCTGTAGAGCTAATGGAAGTGGAAACAGGCTCTTGAACAAAGTAAAAAGGAAAATGTGGCGTAAATGGTTGTCATGAACTTTACAAAACGAAAGCTGCAAATTTATCCGCGAGATTTGTACGAGAACATGTCAAAGCTGCCAAGTGTTAAAGAAACTTGTTGGAAATTTTGGAACAATTATAATGACGATCCTTAGCCTTGTTTCCTTAAAACGCCCCAAGGTGAAACACTGTCGATAGGTTGTCCATCATAACAAGTCTCGCTTTTGTATTATTGGACGAGTTACTAAACTTTACCGCCTCCCTCATCAAAATACAATACGAACTGTCAGAGCGACTGCACTTTAGCATGACCGGCCGTTGTCAAAAGTAGACATGGTATATTTTGATGTAAATCAGCCCCGTGAATGATAACTTGACCACGTGCACTCTTATCTAATGGGAGATATAAGCCATGAAAGATACACCTATGATCAGTAGCGTGCGGTACGTTTCCGGTAACAGACGTAAACGCCAGAGCAAAGTAACCACGGTTCTCAAGTTTTTGGCTGTTAAGAGCCTTCAGCGTGCAAAACCCGACATTAAACTCTGAGCGTATTGCAGCCGGTGGGCTTTTCGCGACATGAAACGTGAAATTAATTTCGCGAGAGCTTTACCCGCGTAGAAAGCTGTGCTGCGACGCTGGATCGAGGACGGAGAAACAGCTAGGGTAAACACAGCGAACAATCATTTGCGGATTAGGCGATTACTGCGAGGTCTTGCTGTGTTTGGTCAAGGTAGGATGGCTTCAGATTTTCTAATGTGTAAACTCAATTTGGAAGCAGCGCGAAGAAAGTGAGTTTGTGTTTTTCGGTATTTTTGTTGAAATGGACCATACGACGGTGAAAAGCGATTTGCAACACGCACGCTACTGTGCTGTTTTTCTTCAAGAGCCCTTGCGTGCTTTCGCGAAGCTGTTCAAATTCGGTAGACGCTAAGCCGTTAAACTATTTGCTATTCTTCATATTTCAATACTTATTGTTCGATAATGTCTAGAAAACTCTGCGCCAGGGCTGAGCAAGTTTGGAGGAAGTTTCGAAATTATCAAGGTGCGCGAGACAAGCTTATGTCATGCATGTCTCAATGTTTTGTTGCTAAAGCGAATGAGATCGAACTGCGAAACTCCGTGACCTTCTTTCGACACAGGCTAGCAACCCGATCTTATTTATAGTATTTCGCCACCGATGATTTGCTGTGTTTTGGCGAATGATTGAATAAGGAAAGAAAAGCCAGCTCCGCCTCAAAGTTGTTTATCTCACCCGGCAGTGTAGTTTGCATAAAATTTACCTTCAAAATTTCGTAATCCATTCAAACGTTTTAATTATTGCAACGATTTTAAGTGGAGGCAAAAGATGCATTTTAATCAAGAAATCGACCAAGCCGACGATAGGAACGCGAAATTAGCTTCGGTTTGTGTGTGTTCATGAACTGTAAAGCGAGGGAGGGTACGTTTATTGCTAATTTTTACGGATGTTTTTGGAAGGCTTCCATTTGTTGAGACAAAACTGTAATGGTTCTGTTGACGTCGATTGTCACGGCTCGCAGCCAACCATCATGATAAAGATTGACATCTTCAATGCATCCCTACACGTGTCTCATTGGAAACCCAAACAAGGGGGCGTATTCGGGAGGGAAATGTATTGTCACAACGTAATTACTGTAAAAACAGAATATTCAATTAGGAAATTTGTCAGCACCAAACGATGGCAAAAACGGATTGTACAATTGCATTAATTTTGAGCTGCTTTCGCGTCCTTGGCAACAAAATTCAAGCTATTGGACCTGTAAAAATCGCCCATTTCTTGTCAAGCGATGGTCTATTACAACAGCGATTCACACCCGACGCTGCCAGATGTGTGAAAAACGACTTGCTAGAAAGCTTAAATTTGCATACGGACTGGAAAAGCGATATCTTAATGTATGTAAATGATAAGATGGAGGGGGATTGTGGTCGCGTTTTGTCGATATCAGCTGCATCAAAATCAAAGTTATTATTTTATTTTGTTGGCTAACATAACAATCTACTAATCTGTTCGACAAACGTAGACGAAAGAAGTTAAATCCGTTAAGTAAACATTGTAAGCCGGCAGGAGGTAAATGGAAGTAACAAGACATAGCTTGCTTTGCGACCTCCCCGCGCGCCTTGAACAATGCGATATAAAATTATTCGAAGACGTTTAACATTACTCCAACCGGTTCCTACGTTTTAGTTTGCGTGCGTTTATGTTCTTTGGCCATCTGTTTAACGCTAGAGCTTCTATGGAGCAAATTAGTAATCTCTTATTGGCCCCGAGTTTGTCATTGTTTGGTCCACAAAGGCCAACAACAGGCCTGAATGCTAATTGAATATTACAGCACAATGTAACAATATAATTGTGGACAATTAATTATATGTCTTAAATGGTTTAGGCAAAACGTTGACTCCCAACGGTGTGCGGGCACATATCACATGAAGATTTAAGTGGAGTCCGCATGCTCTTAGCTCAATCCATTCCTGTCAATTTCAGGACAACAAACATTCCATGAAGAGGAAAGAGCGATGGAAACATGGTCGATTCTTCTATGTGGTCTCCTGATTGCCTCTGGGGTTCTTTCATCGGCAACCGATGGTAAGCATATCCGCTTTCAACAGTTCATCTATCAGCCTTTCGAGTTGCGTTTTGGTCGCTTTTTATAACGCTGCAAAGCGTTTTAAAATGCAGTGGAATTCTGGCAGTGCAAACAGAGCTACACAGAGCAAGATTCAAGTGTTCTTGAGAACAGCGTTCGCATCGCTACTTAATTGCCGTGGGAAGCAACTAATTCTCAATTTTGTGATAGTCGACAAAAGAGCGTTTAAACTGTAGTTAATGTAAATTATCTTTTTCCGACCGCAACGTAAACACATAACAGACATGTCATATAACGGCAGTCCTGCGAGAAGAAAGTAACAAACAACAAAAATCTAGAAAGCTTGCATTTTAGGACTGTATAACTCTTTATTATTTTTATTTTTCAGATATTAAAGATTTTGGAAAGAAGCCTCTGAAAGGTCTTGTTGTGGATTTATCTCCCGCATCATTGGACATTCTTGGTGGTAATGTCACATTGTACTTTCATTTCCCCAGCAATTTTTCAGGATTTTCGAACTCTCGAACACTCAGTGTCCTTGTGTACGATGACAACATTGTAAAGAGACGTCATATAGAAAATGTTGTACTGGATCGCCGCGAAATTTCCGTGATTCTGCCTTGCGAAATATTTGACCACCCAGTCGTGTACAGGTTCAAGTATCATATTTCGGACAGTCGGTTTGAGGCGTTTATCTCGCAGACGCTGACTCTGAAGTGGGGAGAAATCCGCCTCCAGACACCCACAAACCACACCGCCTTAACCCGCTTTGGCTCTTTATGGATTCGGCACAATCGAAAATGTCTACCCAAGAACCGCGACGAACTTAATCTCTATTACATCAAAGGCCACGAGAAGATCTTTGTGACCCGAAAATACATTCGTAAACTGTCCAATGGAAGGCAAAGAAAGCCCGAAGGGTCATGGATTCGGATGGGATTCCCGTGCGAGGTGTTCGACACTCAGGGAATCTACCGTTTTGAGTACCAGACTGGGTTCGAAAATCTAACACTAGCTAAAAGTGAATCAATCCACGTTTATTGGGGTCAACAAACTCTGTCTACCCCGACCAGCACCATATTTCCATGCACAAATTCGTTTGTGATTTTATACGCACAGCCGCGTTGCCAGAATGTCAGAACTCACGATGCTATAGTCATGGGGGACAGATACTCCAAGAAGCCTACCGCGCAAAAACCCGTGGAAAATGTCTACGATGCGGCATTTTTTCCATGCTCGTTGTTCAAGGATTATGTCAAAGAATACTGCTTTCATTACGTCACGAAATCTAGTCTGACCAAGAGTACAGTAAGAGTCACCTCGCTGTGTCTGCCCTCGCATCCCCCAGGTAAGTGAGCGGTGATGTTATCAGCGATAAAACTACAATTATTCATTGCGAACCCCTGACCCCTGT